ACTACATATATATATATATATATATATTGAGCGTCACGTACTCAGATCAGTTGGTCGGACATTTGTTTATCAGTTGTAAGTCCCATCTGATCTGGGGTTTGATTCCCCCCAAGTGTAGGGTGTGGTACTCAAATTCTTAGGCGCATGAGGGATGTTCGAGGTTCGTATAATAACTTCCGGCCATTCATTTTTGAATGTATATATATATATATATATATATTATAGAAATATTTTCATGTGATATTACCTAATTAATTACATCTGCAGTTCGTAATTAATTAAAAGCAAATGAAAATGTTCACAAATAAAAAAAAAAATTTAAAAACATAATTATGGATGTTCTATTGGAGGCCATAGACAAGTAAAGCTCCAACTCCTGTAATCCCCAAAACCAGACCAAAAATCACACCCCAAGGGGCGGCAGGCCGCCGCCAACGGGCTTCCCACTGTTCACATCATAGCGTGCAAAACGCCTCTTTGGCGCTCTGCACTGAGGGCAGACATAGGAATCAGGCTGCCAAAAAAAAACGTTCATGTACAAATTCCATCAATATTGATAAAAGAAAGTTTTATAAGGACGCTTAGTTTATTACAACATATAAATCACATGAATTATATACAAGATTTACATGCATACCACTCACTTCTTATGTATTTACACATCTAACGCCTAAACTTCAATTTTTACATGCATGCCACCTTCCCTATGCACGAAAACGTGCGTTTCACTTTTTAAATTTTAAAATTATTGTATTTTTTATTTGATATGAAACATTTGGCTAGGTATAAATGTAAATGCCCATATACACTGATACTCCTCGGAGTTTGGAGCTCAAATCAAATGATAAGCTTGAATAGGGTTTCCACTAAGCATGAACTACCCTTAAAACATGTTTGGTTAGCACAATTTTTACATTTTTTTTTTCCTTTTTAAGAACATATTAGCTTATTTTTAGCATATTTTAATTCAAATCACTGCATAAAAAAATAAAATAAAATAAAAACAAAAGTAACATCAAATGGATCCCTGTGGGGATGGCAACAGCCTGAAGTAAAAATACATACCTGCTCATCAAAAGGTTTTTGCAATGTGTAGATGAATCCACAGTCTAAGCATATGTGAGTTGCTCTAGCCTTCATGAAAGCATGAAAAAAGTTCAAAAAATGACAGCAAATTAATCCAATTAAATTAAAAAAAGATAAAACAGTTCATACTTATGTTTCAAGATTTGGGGAATGAAAATTTACACAAAAAGTCTTGCCTTCTGAGATTCTGTCAAGGTCCTGCCAAATCTAGGTGGAGCTGGTCTCTTAGGTAATCGCTTCACATCTACCTCTGCACCTCTGGAGTAGCAATAAGAAAGTTGCAATCTTTACATTCCTACCTTTGTCCTCCAAAAAGATATATATATATATATATATATGGAACAAATTTCAAAATGTCCCCTGACTATTGTAATGTGGCCTATTTAGTTCAAAAGTTTTGCAGTATTCCGATTTAGTCCTCATAATATCAAAAATTGATCTCAATTGGTCCATCACATAAAAATCATGACATAAAAATGGTCCAAATCTAGTTCCTCGACCACACAAAATTCATCCCAATTTGATCGTTGAGGGACCAATTAGGATCAATTTTCAATACTCAGGACTCAGAAGACTAATTGCAGCAACTACAAAACTTTGGTATTAAATTGACCACATCCGAATAATCAGGGGGCCTTTTTGGGATTTAACCCAAAAAAATATTATCTGCTATTAACATGTCACACAAGTAAATTATAATAGAAAAGAATAAACTTATGCTTTTAAAGAATCATTTAGCTATGCAAGATTTTAGAGCATTTGAGAAAAAAATCAAAACAGTCCTTAAAAATTTTCACTTTAGCCCATTTTAATCCTAGACTTTCCACACATTCAAATATGTTCCATAAAAAATCCAAACTAATTTGATCATATCATTTAACTTCGTCGTTTCTTTGAATAAAAGTTAGTGGAACTAAACTTTCTATGAGAGCATTTTCAACTTTTCAAGTATAATCTCTAATACCGGAGTTTAGGCTAAAACATGATGCAAGATGACAAATTTTATCACTAAATTAGACGAGGATACAATGAGGACTCAAAGAAAGAAGGACAACACACAAAGCAAAAATGAAAACAAAGGATTACAAATAAAGGCTTGACAAAAGATGATGCAACAAGCTTGATGAGGAGGGAGCTCGGGTGCTGGTGCAAGGTAGGTGACTGTGGTGAAGGCCGGAGAGGCGTCTTGTGATGCAACAAGCTTGATGAGGAGGGAGCTCGGGTGGTGGTGCAAGGTAGGTGACTGTGGTCTGCTGTTGAAGGGAAGGGCAATAAATCAACGATGGTAGGGGCGTCGAACTGCAGTTGGAGGGAGCTTGGAAGAGCAACGGTGGTTGGGGCCTGCAAGGAAGCTGCAGGAAGAAGACGCGACCTGCTCGAGGAGGGAGATAAGCAGCACGTAGAGGTGGCCGGAAGGCTGCTGTTGATGCGGGAGAGGGGCAGCGGCGGCTGCAGCCTGCAGGAGGTGAGACCCACTGGAGGAGGGAGATGAGCAGCAGGTAGAGGTGGTCAGAAAGCTTTTGTTGATGCCGGAGAGGGGCAGCGGGGGCTGCAGACTGTAGGGAGCTGTAGGGAGGAAGTCTGGTGAACCGTGGTAGGCTGGAAGGCTGTCGACAGTTGTGGGGTTGAAAGCAGCCAGGAGGATGGACGAAGAGATAAATATCTCGGCAGGGTCGAGCTACAGCCGGAGCATCACCCGGACCCATGGAGACGATCAACACCTGGGACAAGGGACAGCTGGAGCACTACCTTGACGTCGGATACAACTCTCAAGACAGAAAACACTCAGACAAAACTGAATTCAGATTTCATAAAAACCAGCCCCTACGCACAACCTCGCCTATTTATAAAGAGACACGACCTATCTTAAAAAACATTTAAAATAAGGAGAATAAAAATCGGATTTCAGATTTTAGGAAAGGCTTTTTAAATATGAAAGAAGAATAAGAAATAAATTTCATTTTTTTAGGAAAAGCTTTGTAAAATATGAAGAGAGAATAAAATCAGATCTCATATTTTGGGAAAATGATTTAAATTTAGAAAGTGTTTAGGAGGGAAAGGTAAGGGTGAGATAAGGAAGGGTGAGAAAACGAAAGGAGGGCAAAAAAAAAAAGAGAGAAGAGGAGGGACGGGGCGGCAACACCCCCTCCCTTGAGGACTGGTCGGTTCTTTCCCGAGCCCCGCATCAATCTCACTACATAATACTAGCTCAAACTAATGACATTCACCCTCAAAGCCAAAATGCCAGATTTAAGGAGTTGAAGGATTACATAGAGCATCTGGAGAACAATCAAACTTCAATGAACACGCCTAAAAAGTCTAAGGACCATTTTAGTCGTTTACACTGAATATTAACTAAAAAATACAGGTAGATTTACATACATACCATTCAATTATTATGTATTTACATATCTAACACCTAAACTTCAATTTTTACTTGCATGCCACCATAGTTATGCATGAAAAAACGTGTGTTTCTCTTTTCAAAAGTTAAGAAAATGTATTTTTTATATGATATAAAATATTTAGGTGCTATAAATATAAAAACCAAAGTTTAGATAATAGATATGTAAATACATAAGAATTGGGTGGTATAAATGCCCCCAAAATAAAATAACACAAGCCCGTGTTTCAATTTCTTGTATCTACAATTAGCAAATTGGATTTTGAAATATAGAATCCAGGTAGGAATTTCTAAGCTTTCTTTGGTAGAAAAAGAAATAAAAAATAAAATCAAATTTTGATTTCTAAGAGCAAATTTTATTAATAGAGACATCAAAATTAGTCCATACCTGCTCACAACAAAGTAAACAGAATCAGGCTTTGCTTGAATAGCTGTTTTGGTGAATCCCAGCTTATCTGCAGGCCAAAGTTCATCACCAAAAAAGCTGCTGGTGTACAAAACCTGATCTCCAGGTCTTAGTCCAGCCTTCGCCGCATTTCCACCGCTATCAACAGCCTGACACAAATATTTCTCACTCAGGGTCAGTACAAGAGCTTTAATTCATACAGAAAATAATCTTTTGGGGCATTTACGTAGATACCATACTGTTCTTATCCATTTAGATATCTAACACCTAAACATTCATATTAACATGCGTATCACTCAAATCTTTAACATCATAAAAAAAAAAAACCACCATCACTACCTTTTTAAAATTGAGAAACACCATTTCATACATGGTTTTATGAAACTAAAGGTTTTATAAGTGTAAATATCATACTTTGGGTGTTAGATATGTATATACATAAAAATTGAATGGCATGTATGTAGGTAAATACAAATTCTCTCTCTAAGAACCTAAGGCTCAACCTAACCTATAGTACAGTTTGAGTAAGTCCATAGATGAAAAAAATTTTAGGATTGTTTGAATCTAAAGTAGTGAGAGATCAACCTCAACTCCACACTAGTTCCTCCCCTAATTGCATAGCTTCATCTAATTTGCGTCTAAAGAGTACTAAACATTGAGATTTCTTAGAATTTTTTATCAAATAGGATTTTAGGTACTTAAAATCATACTTTTGTTGTCCAATCACATTTGAGCTGCTTATTGATTAAATCCAAAATTTGCTAAGTACCAACATTTACAATATTTAATGGATTTAAAGATTTCATCTCAAAAAAATCTTAAAACTAATTATTCAATAGTTTATATCAATATTTAGCTTTATTTAATAGTTGTATTGTCTAAATATTAATAGCTTCTAATCCTCTCAAAATTTACCAAATCCTGCTTGAAGCCAAATAGTCCCTTTCATGTCTGAAGATTTTACAAATTCTGCAAAATATTTTCACTAAACCAAATTGCTAATGCTAAGCAGTTATTTAGTTGGGTAAATTTACGTTAAAAGCACAAAATTCTTATGTATTTACATATCTAATGTCTAAATTTTCATATTTATCATCATCACAAACTTCCAACCAAATAGAATAGGAGCATAAAAGTGAAATACACCTTTTCATGCAAAGGTTCATGACATCAAAGTAGGGGTGTATATGAGGCAAGCCGCTTGGACTCAACTCTATAAGTGGCTCGTGAACTGAGCTCGATGAGCTAACAAGACAAGCTCAAGCTAGACCTAGCTCGATTCGTTATCCCATGAGCCGATTTGTTTAAAAATAACCAATATAAAATATATTCAAATTATTTTAAAACTCGATACTTTATCTTCAAATTATTAAAAATATTAGAAAGAATAATGTTTTCCATTTTATATAAAGTAATTTCTTATAATTTATCTCTTAATTATAACAACAACGACAAGCCTTTATCCCACTAAGAGGGATCGACTACCTGAATTTGTTTTCTCCATTTTATCCTATTGAGTGTCATATTTTCCGTTAGTTCTAATAGATTAAGATCATTTTTTATATAATATGCCCAAGTCTTTTTAGGTCTACCATTGTCTTCCTTGAAATAAGTCGAATCTAAAACATCCACTCTCCTAACCGGATCAACAGATGGTTGGCGTTTAATGCAACCAAACCATCTAAGACAACTCTCTCTAATCTTGTCCGCCACTGGAGCTACACCATCCCTATCACGGAAGTGTCAATCCACTCATCCACCTAAGCATTCTCATCTCAGCAACAATTAACTTTGTTTTATGCTTCTCTTTTAAAGGCCAACATTATGCGCCATAAAGCATTGCAGGTCTCACAACCAACTTATAAAATTTTTCAGCATTGCAGGTCTCACCACCAACTTATAAAATTTTTTCAACTTATAAAATTTTTCTTTAAGTCTAAGCGATACTTTTCTATCACAGAATAGACTCGATGCATTCCTCCACATCAACCAACTAACTTATATTCTACTAAAAACATCCCCATCTATATCACCATCACTTTAAATAGACTCGACATATCTAAAACGACCACATATTTTAATGATTTTATCACTCATAGTTCCAACTCTGTCACTAGATCTACAACAACTAAAATTACAATCCATGTATTCACTTTTAGATCTACTCAAACGAAGATCTTTAGATACCAATTTAGACCTCCATAATCCATGTTTTTCCTGAAGTCTTTCTCTAGTCTTATCCACAAGAAGGATATCATCAGCGAAAAGCATACACCAAGGTGCATCCTCCTGTAAATATTAAGCAAGAGCATCCATAACTAAAGGAAAAAGATATCGACTTAAAGTCAATCCCTGATGTAATCCAACTGAAATAGGAAAATATTTTGGTCAATCCTCCTTCTGTTCGAACACAACTAACATCTCTAGTATTCATATTTTTAATAACTTGAATATAAGTCATATCAACAAATTTCTTCTCTATAACTCTCCAAAAATTTTCTCTTGGAATCGTATCGTAATCTTTTTCTAAATCAATAAAAATCATATGTATATCCTCCTTACTCTCTTCGTATTTCTCCATCAAACCTCTCAATAAATGTGTAGCTTCCATAGTAGACATACCTGACATAAATCCAAATTGATTATGAGTAGACCTGGGCGTTGGACGGGTCAGGCTTGGCGTGACCGAGCTTAATCAACTTTGACCAATCAAAGCGGGATTGGGTCAGGCTTGAGCCCAGTTTCTATCTAAAAAATCACAGCCAAGTCTACACACTCCATGGTCCGAATCGGGTCGGAATGGTCGACGGGCGTCAAAACTCCACACCAATAAAAATCAACAATTTTTTCTTATCCAAATTTTTTTAAAAAATTTTTATCAATTGTAATAATAAATTGCCAAAAAAAGGCTTTATTTAATAACATGACCGAAAATTCAATTACAAATATTTGTTGCCACTAGAAGACCATATCTAAAAGAAAACTATAGTTTTGGGCAATGAACTGTATTGAGTAATCAATCAAACCACTTATTTTCTAAAGTTGCAAGTCTCTTTTATGGATTCTGTTTTCACATTAGCAGTTGCTCATTATTTGGAGGATTTACATACATAAAAATCAACTCCTATGTATTTACATATCTAACACCTAAATTTCATTTGTTTATAAACATGCCACCCTGCATATGCATGAAAACGTACATCTCATTTTTTAAAGTTAAAATGATGATATTTTTGATGTGCTATGAAATATTTAGGTTACATAAATGTAAAAAAAAAATAGGTGTTAGATGTGTAAATGCATAATAATTGAGTGGTGGTGTGTATGTAAATGCCCCTAAGTTTTTTGCAAATTCTCTTTTTTTTTGTGATTAATAGAAATTAATTAAAAATTCTACTAGAGAACTTTTAATAATGAAATTTCTCAATGATGACACTTTTTTTAAGTCAGTAAACAGATTATTGTGAAATTTCAAATATTCCTTGCACAAGAAAGTAACACTTTCCAGTCTAAAATATTGTCCAAAATCAATATTAATAATATTTTTTTATGTGATATTAAATAAGCAAATTTTAAAATCTAACTGTGTGATATGTAAACACGCAAGAATTATGTTGTACGTAAATCACCCAAAAAAAATATCTTTTTTCAGGTTGGGCATTATGTGTTTGGTTATTGCGGGCTTTAACAAAAGCTGAAGCGAGCTTGGGTCGGGCCATGCCCACTAAATTTCTATTTTTCCACAACCAAGTTTGTTCACTCTAAGCGAGTTTATAGCGAGCTCATCGAGTCACCCTCCGAATGCTCGGGCCTAATTATGAGAAATTTTTGTATCACGTCTTAACCTATGTTCAATTACTTTCTCCCATAATTTTAGAGTACGGCACATCAACTTAATTCCTCTATAATTTGCACACTCTTGTGCATCCTTTTATTCTTAAAAATAGGGACCAAAATACTCTTCCTCCACTCTTCAGACATCTTTTTAGTTTTTAAAATAATATTAAAGAGTTTAGTAAGCCAAAAAACTCACAAATTTTCTAAATATTTTCACACTTCAATTAGGATATCACCAGGTCCTACTAATTTTCCATTCTTGATTTTCTTTAAAATCTCACTAACTTTTTTTTTACTAATGAGACTAAAAAATAAAATATTTTATTATTATTAACGATATTAAGATCACTAAGGCCGATCATATTTTTAAAAAACTTCATTGAAAATTAAAACAAAATAGCTCCCACCTATGTTGCACATCTTCCTTTAAGAAAAACACTTTTTGATTTTCATCTTTAATATACTTTATTTGAATTAAATCTTTACTTTTTTTTACCTAATTTATACATATATTTTTCAACATATTTAGTATCTAATTGTACATCAGGATTATGCTCGCACAAATCTCAAAAATATAATGAAAAACACAGAAAACACTAATATGTGAACATTCGTTGTTTGAACAATCGGTCTCAGAAGCCGGTCGAGTGAAGAGAACGAACGACCCAACAATAAAGAACGACCGCGCCAACATCTGCTTCCCATCAACTGCCATTACAAAGATCAGTTGTTGCCTAGAATGAAGTTATGCAATATAGACACATAGACCAAAGACAGGCTACTTGTCAAATTTTGGTGATCCACCTACTAGATGAAATAATCCTACCCAAGGACAATGCGTCTCTTCAAAAAGAGCGTTCGAAGAACATTTAAGCTTTGTTTGGGAAGCTTCGTTGGGGGCAGCTTATCCGTTGTGGCAGTGTTTTGAAAACGTCGACTCGCCATTTGGAAACTCTCTTCAAAAAGAGCGTTCGAAGAACATTTAAGCTTCGTTTGGGGCAGCTTATCCGTTGTGGCAGTGTTTTGAAAACGTCGACTCGCCATTTGGAAATTGCGTTTGAACAGCTTATCCGAAAACGCAGTTGGTTTTATACACTAAAAGCGGAGTTTCGCTGGTTGCACCCCTCGGTCCGCGTTTCCAGATAAGCGGTTTATCTGGATAAGCACAAGCTGCCCCAAACGCACCCTTAGTCGGTCGAATGACATTTAGTTGGCTGAATGAATCCGGACCCTCCGAACGAATTTCAAGTAACCAAATTGAGCAGTTACGAATGCAAGACAGTGTATAAGACAGTCAACAAATATAGAGTGG